TTTTTTTTTTTTTTTTTTTTTTTTTTTTTTTTTTTGGAAACGTAAAAAACTACTCAATTTGTTAAGTATTTAAATATAAAGATTTTTTGCTAATGCTAAAGTTTGTAACTGTAATATTAATAATCGTTACATACTACATTTAATCAATAATAATAATAATAGTAATAATGAATAACTACTTTATTTAAATATGAAATAAAAAGTGTTTTAAATAATTGGTCTATATGCACAGAAGTAATTATAAATATTTATAATAATTAATAATTACTCTTAAATGAATTTTAAATAAAGAATGTTTAATAATAGAACATATTAAAATATACATATTGGAAAACTTATTCTCGTGTAACCTTATTCTAGAAGAATATCAAAGACATTAAAATTTAATTATTTGAATTATTTATACGTAAATGAAGCGTTGATCATCTTACTTCGAGTATTTATAATATAATTAATTAATTCCCATTAACGAATTATTGAAAATCATCTTTTATCTAAAAATATAAATTGAATTATACAATTTGTTTACCAATACGTGCGTTAAAAAAATATATTTTTTTTGTGTATGTAAATACATTTAAATCATCAATGATTACGTTTCATTCGGATTTCTTTATGATATATAAACTACAACCTCTTCATTATTATATATCATATTAAATTATTATTTTCCTCTACAATATTAGTATTTTTTATTCGAAAATTATTATTATTAGTTAAAAGGGTTAGATAAAATTATATAAAACTCAAAGTAAAAAGTTATCTCATTTTAATAGCTTCTCACCGTCTCAAATATTCATATTTTTATCAAATTTTACAATGTTTTATAAAATTCTTCATAAATTGTAATTAATTAATTAAACTTGCCTTTTTTCTTCTCTTTCTCCTTCTCTTTTTCCCTTTTGTCCCCATTAACTTCCGTTCTGAAAACATAAAATTATACTTATTAATTTGTGGTCTGCATCAAAATTCAAGCAAAATTCAATTCATCCTCATAATATTGCAATTCTATCTCATTTAAATTTATATAAGAAAGCACTGTGGTTATTATGAGAATTGTTTTATTCGAATTCACTACAAAATGAAAGCTGACTTATTCTATATTTAGAGATACGTTAACGCGTAGCTTGGCAGTTGCATCTTGTCGAGCGAAAATCCGTATTATTTGTCCCCTACGGAAGTAAAATTTCAACTTACGTTTACGTATAAGAATACTTTTATTCATTATGGGAATCGATAGCGAATTATTTTTGTTTGCTGTTGCGTAGTTTTCTTTCTTTCTTCTATTTTCTTTTTTAAATAATTGTGGTACAAAGAAATTGCTTGGTGAATCACATATACGCCAAGAAACAATTTATTCTAATTAATAAAGGTTAACGCTTCGTCAAGATCAAGTTGCTAAAGATAAAAATAATATAGCTATTTGTTGCACACGTGAGGAGATTAATCGTATCTCGAGAATTGTTCTTAATTTTCTTTCTGTTTTCTTTTTCATTTTCCTCATTTTCTTTCTTTGTCTATCTGTCTGTCTGTTTTTTTTTTTTTTTAAATAAATATTATTATTTAACCTAATATACTTTTCTTATAAGAGAATGACATAGTAAATAATGAGGCATACATTAAATCAAATACGTCAAGGCACAATCAAGATTAATAGCGCTTCAAAGCCATTATTACTAAAGTCAATGCTTAGATTTTAAGAGGAGCGAATTTAACATTAATATAAACTTTAACACGAATCCCCCCCCCCTCTCTCTCTCTCTCTCCCTTCCCATCTCACGTGGACTTGATTCAATCATTACGAGTTAAGACCAAATTTTCATGCTAATTTTACTTGAAAATGAACAAATACACATAAATTTAATTTTCTATAATCATTTCCAAGACAACCTCGCGCGAATGTTTAAAACAAACAATCGTTCCCATACAATAAAATTATTTTTAACAGTATATAGATAATATAATTCAATAAAATCCCTTATCTCTTTAAGCAACGCCTTTTATTAACTCATTTTAGCAATAAATTAAATTTACAAGACTAACAGCCTCATAAATTGGAGGCTCATCAAATGCAACCCGAGACTCTGGAGAAAATGTCAATTTCACTTTGAGTCTAATAAACATAAGAAGTCGCCACGGTCGCTTCGGTCGCAAAGATTCGCTGCAAATAATTACTTTCTTTGGAAAGTGCCTTGTGGCATCCGTTTCCAAGCAATTGCGTAAACGCAGCATAAATCGCTCTTGTTATCAGGCGAACGTTGACCCCGGGAGGACAGAAATAGGGTTTTTCGGTACTCGTTAGTGTGCCTTCGCACAAAACTCCACCAACATCACGAAGTTACACCACATTTCTTATATCATTATCCATTTGCTTAACTGATTCTCCCAATGCTTAAAACGCAAGGAGTGCTGCGCCCCCCCCCCCTCGCTCCCGTTCAAACAGCAGGAGTAATCAATCAACGCATAGGTGAAGCACGATGATATCTTTAACGCTTGTGAAACCTTTAATCGTACTCTTATGGACTACAGGCGCATCTTGGAAGAGGGCAATAGGCACAATTAGGCTATGCCTAGTCAGAATGTGTGGTACCAAAGGCAGCGCGATGCATTTTCCTAGAATGAAGATTTTCAAACGATATATCATTCTTCAGACGATAGGAAGTTTTCATAGTTCGCAAATAATTACAACCAACACTTTTTCCATATTGGTTATAAATTTTTTATCCTAGCAGCAGGAAGGAACTATGTAAATTTCACTTTCTCTAAAACTATTGTATATGTATTTTTCAATATTTAAGTAATAAAACTTTTCAATACGATTATTTCTTTATTTGCTTCAATTAAAAAAGAAAAAAAAAATTAAAAAATAAAAAATAATAAAATCAAAGTTTGTAAATATTTTTTCTCTTTTATTTTTCATTGTAACATATTCAAAAACTATTCAAACAAATGAAACGGATTATATTATTTTTATCGGAAAACAATCTCAATTTAAATAAATGCAAATGTAAGCATTGAGTAAACATTATTCCAGTAAATATTATATAAGGATTGTTTTTGAAGTTTAATATCGTAGCGAACCAAAGTTTTGCTTTGATATTTGAATTTATGTTTATGCAAAGAGCAATAAAAATTAAACGAACTCTTAAATATTAATTAAATAAAAATTTTACGGTTGAAATTATTAATTCAGTTTTTATATTGAATAATGAACCATAAATCTAAATTTAAGGTACAAGTAGCAGACAAACAGTACGTATACAACGTATACAAAAAATTTCAAAAATCTACCTCAAAATTTATTGTATAATTTTACAGAAATCATTTTCTTAAAACTCACGTAAAATTTTCAATGTACGCGAAATTGAATTGCTAATCAATGTTCATGCTTGAACATTAAAATAAAATCAAATTTTTATAAATGTAAAAATGGCTTTCTAAATGTTATTTCTGAACTTAGATTTATTACACATACTGAGTCGGCCGTTTAAAACGTTTTAAGTTTAGAATAATTCTTAAGACTTCCTTCCTTGTTACAGTAATAGATAAATACGTATTTTTTACTTTAAACGTTAAATTAGACAAAAGAGGCTGTATTCCCGTTATTTTTACAAATTCTTTTTCTACACAAATGCTATTGGATTTATATCCGAATTAGTCGATTAGTTTTTAATTGCATTTCAATTTGGGTATTAAAATGTTATTACAAAAATTAAAAAAAAAAAAAAAAAAAAAAAAAAAAAAATTAAAAAACAATTGAAATAATAATACATTATTTATATCATACATTTGGGTACTACTTCAATGACGTAATTAATTAGTAATAAAAATGTAACACACATATGTTTTAGAGTCATTTGTAATATCTATTCAACTTTTAACGCGGCTGATACTATTTAAGGCTTTTCAATTAACGCATTATCCTTTCAATTTTCTAACTTTCATTTCATAGTTTTAATCATCAGTGCCGATGATTATTATTATTTAGATATTCATATCATAACAATATTGTATTTATTTTACTATAAACATAACAAGATATTTAAAGCTTTAATGAATACGAATGTTAAAAAGTTTCTCCCGTAAATTAATAATAACAAGATATAGCAGGATCTTGAAATTTCAATATTTTAGAGTAAATTGCCGGAGAAGTGAAACATCGAGTTAACATTCCTTTCATACGAATAAAGAAAGTTAGAAAATTAGAAAAATTACATTTTGAATGTTCATCATATTTGTAAAATAGTATATTAATTAAAGGTAAGTATTTAAAAATTTATCCCAATTCGTCGTTATTTAGAAATATCTAACAATTTTGATAAAATTTCTGATTCTGAAATACAATGAGCACAAACTTGTCAATACATCCGATCCATTGATTCGTCGATAAAATGAAAAGATCAGTTTACTAATTTTATATAAATTTTATATCAATCAACATTTTCAATGCCTTCGGATCATTATACCTAGTGTTTCCGATAATTTCAATATATAAATAAATGCAATAATATCTCTCAGTTTCTTGAATATTTATTGTATTTTTTAATTAATTCAAGTGGATCAATTACAATAAAGCGTTTCGCTTTATTTACGTAATGAAACTTATTAATAAACATTGTGTATCTATTAACATATCGAGATTTCGAAAGATGAGCCGATATTATGATTTATTAATTTTTTTTTTTATGTATAAAGCATATCTCTGATACGTTACAATTTAAAATCTTAGACTGGAACGCTTAAAAATTCTTAAAATAAATTAGCATTGGTTACGAACGGAGAATAAATTTTGAATAATAAAACGTGAACGCGTAGCATGTTACCATCGACTTATCTTACGCGTAAGAAAGTTGACGTACGGACCTAAAAATATACATGTATATATGTATATGTATATGTATATCTATCTATCTATCTATCTATCTATCTATCTATATATATATATATATATATATATATATATATATATATATATATATATAGATATATATATATATATAATCTCGAGGTCTGGTACACTGATTTTCATTGGAACTTAGCACAAGGGGACTGCGGGAAATTAGAAAAAACCAGTCTGGTCCTAATTTGCATTTTTATGCGTCAGTTCATAAATAAAATCAAAGTAATATGATACTTGGCACGCATTCACACCAATTCACGTGCTGAAAGCAGCGCATAAAAATCTCTGGCTGCTCGATGCGTTTCATGATGCACGTGCGTTATGCATCATTTTCAGCCGAAGCGAATTAAGAAACGCATAACCGTGCCGTTACGAGTCACTGACATGATAGGGAAGAATCTCGGAAAGAAAAAGAGTAGCGCATGTAGGCAAACGTGTGTGTGTGTATATATATATATATATATATATATATATATATATATATATATATATATTTATTGCTCCATATACAGATATATTAAGATGATTATCGCGAGCCAATGGGTCCAAGTACGTTACGTTTACTATGCATTAAATGATTTCACGATGCGTGTTTGCTTGGGTAGATGCTAGCACAGTTGCCTCCTTAGTAAAATCATTGAATATTACCACGTGATTTCGCCCGTCGCATGTACTTACATTGTGCCATACAGGAACCTTATCCCGTTTGTCACTACCGCGTACTATTATCGCGTAACCTGTGTTCTTGCGTTAAACAACATTTTTTATTGTATAAGTAATAACCTTGAGCTTCATTCGGACATTGCCTCTTTTTTCTTTAGATATCGTTCGATAAAATGAATCGACTCGTTTCACCCATCAAAATTTCATTTATTCACCATCCAATAATCTGTGTGGCTTAGATAAAAGCCTAGAAATTATGATAAACTCTGCTTAGAATAAGGACATGATGTGAGTGATAATAAAAGAAAAAAAATTATATGCCACTCAACTAATTTCGCGATATATTTATTTTATATTTAT